CTCTCTCTCTCTCTCTCTCTCTCTCTCTCTCTCTCTCTCTCTCTCTCTCTCTCTCTCTCTCTCTCTCTCTCCCTCTCTCTCTCGCTCACTCTCTCTTCTTTATCCTACTCTCACTCTCACGCATGTATCGCTCCTATCCATACGAAAACTGAGGTACCATACGCATTATTAATTTGATAATATCATTTGGACAGTGTTCGAAGCAGCGTCGTCTGAAGAAAAAACTGAAAATCTTTAACCAACCAAAATATTTGAAAGACGGACGTATATAATGGCGAAGAACCAAGTGAGTATCAACAGTTCTTTTCTCAACTTTGCCAAGTGCGTGTTACAAGAAGGCATATAAAATTTTGTACAAACTATACATTCGATGATATTTTTTAAAGCGATAAATCCATGTATAACAGGGAGAATTCACAAACATTTACATATCAAATCTGTTTTCAACTAACACGTGTAATTTAAATGCAATTAAAAGATATTAATGCAAAAAGTCTACTTCAGACGAATCTGTTGTATTACAATTCAAGATAGAACTCTGCTTATATGTAACATATGACGAACGTTTAAAGAAGTGAACTCGTATGTACGTCAATGTACATTACGTATAAAATTATAAATAAAAGTCTCCTTAAATTTGTTTCTAACTAGTATTATAGATTGTTTGAGATCTCACTTTTAGATAGTTAGTTTGTTAATTATTCAGTGAAATGTGTAAGGTAAAATTTAGACAAACTTTTCAAGTATTTATAAAGTCGATTATAACTGAATTAATAGAAATAGCCATGTTTTAAGATCTCTCCTACAATTTGGATTCTTCATATTATCAATGGTTTTCTTACATAAAATGTTATTTTAATTAAATAAGATACGTTAAATACCTGTACATAGAAAGTCTAAAAAATCTCCATGTACTTTTGGTGGACTCAGCTTGCAAATAGCTCTTACCTGTACATGTAAATATGTTATTATATTGTATGTTAAGACATTGTTTTTAAATTCAACCGATCTTATTAAAAGGCATAGAGGCTTTTAGGCTTTTATACATTGTTTATTTTCATCATTTCAGTGATAAGTAACTTAAATATTTCCAGGTGTCTGACAAAGAAGTCGATAATATCTCTACTGATTGTGAGATGACTCCATCTTTACCATATTTACCTTCGTGTTCCAAAAGCTATTCTGAGTCACGAGTGGAATTTACTACATTTGAATATACATGGAACATTGTAGAATTTGGTAGTTTTATCAATGCTACAAGTACACTAATATCTCCACCGTTTGCTCACGGTCAATTCAGAATTGAAATTAATCATTCACATCAAGATAAAAAAATACAATTTCATATACGTACTCTTACAGCGTTTACCGGTTCGTGTGATACTAGTATAAGAGATGGTTACTTGTATAAACAGGAAAAATATGTTTTAGGTATTATAGATGATAAGACATTGTTAGTTGAAGCTAGGTCATCAGGCATATGGCAAGATGATTGTATGGTACATTGCAAGATTAAGATTTATCAAAAATTAATAAGTAACACAATGCATGTAGATTTACTATCTTCCTTAAAAATATTCAAAGGCATGAAACGTTTTAACAACTCAACCCTTAAATTTGAGTCTATGAACGAGAAGTCAATCAAATTTGTAGTAGGAGAGGAATCATACATTATATCAAAAAAGTTGTTGTGGGCTACCAACAGTAGCTACTTTATGAATGTCTGTCTTACGCATGAAGGGGAGGAAAAAGATATGACAAGTGAATTAGAAATACTTGGTGAGATGCATACTTTTAAAAAGATTTTATCATATATTTTAACTGGCTCATTGTCAGTAGACGAAAGTGATTACGACATGTTTCAAGAATTGTTAAAAACATCTGATAAATATGATGTACCAACTTTAAAATTTATATGTGAACATTACTTGGTACGTTCTTTTACGGTTGACAATACTGTGGAACTTGTACAGCTTGCTTTTTCGTCAAACGCAAAAGTTTTAGAAACACATTTGGCAACTTTCATTAAATTCCATGAAAAAATAATTACGAATTCTAGAGCATTTCGAAGTCTACCACCAGAAGATTCAAATAAGATCATGGAACTGATTAAGAAAAGTGAAATACTCGAAGTCAAAACTTGTGATACTGTTCAGTGATACTATCATCTATATTCTATGCCTTAAAAAATTTGCATTGGCTGTTTACTACACTTCATATAATATTATAGTTTTAATTATAAATTAATTTAAAAAAGTACGCGACAAAGATTTTTTTTCGTGATAAAGATTAATTTACAATGAATAAGCATGTGTTTGGTTTCTTAAAAATATAACTTTTGATTTTTATTTATGTAAGAATGTATGTCGAGTGTAAGTGTTAAGACACACTAAAAGTAATATTTTATTTGAACTTGTGTATACGGATAAAACTACTATTAAATATATTTTGTATAGATTGCTTATAATTTTCTCGTCTACTAGTGTTTATCTAAAACGGAAGAAAATAAAAAGTAAAAATTCCTTACAGACTTATGTCAGTTATGTTTTATAATAATCTTCATCGAAATTATATTTTATTGAGATTTTTAATCGTAGTTCTGTGGGTCATTCTGCGTACCTATTATAATGTTAGGAACTTTTGCAACTACCATTTCCGACGAGACAGCAAGCTATTTTTCATAAAGTTAAACTTGATTGTTATTTTTAATATTTGTCACCGTTATACGTTTTCAATATTGTCATTAATTTGAGTGTCAATAAAATGCAAGTAAATAGAAATACAATTGAAATAATAATTATACCTTGTCTTAATTTATATTGATAAACTTATGGTATATTTCGTTATTTATTTATCTTTATTTCTAGTTCAGTAACATATATTGAGCAAATTATATGACATTCAATGTAAAAAAAAAAACGTAATCCGATCATCAAGAAAGAAAATATTTACAAAGGTTACAAGGCTACCAAAATTTGAGTTAAACTTGATAAATAATCAATTGATGGTTTTAGAGTGTTTAGATCGTGGTGCCCGCAGCTCGCCTGTAAGGTATTTGGAAGAAGTAAGTACACATATCTTATACATATACAAGGTGAGGAAAAAGTATGGAAACCTCTAAATTTTTCGAATACTATGCATTTTAGAAACAAATGTTTCAGACAAAAGTTATATTGTTTTAAGGGGGACATAAGTATCATTGGTTTGACCTTGGATAGTCGTTTGAAGGTTACATAAAGGTAATCTTGAATTTTTTAAATAAAACCTGCATTTTTATTATATCATTTTTTTACACATGAACTTACTGCCTGAACTAACATCCTCCTTAACCCCTGAGTCTGAGAATGAGAACTTAATCAAATTTATAATAGGAACGAAATCGTCTATTTTATCAAAAAAGTTGCTTTGGGCTACCAGCAGTAGCTACTTTATGAATGTCTCTAGTACGCATGAAGGAGAAGAAAAAGGTATGACAAGTAAATTAAAAACACATAGTGAGAGAGATACGAGCTTTTACGTAGATTTTATCATATATATCAATTGGCTCATTGTCAGTAGAACAAAGTGATTATTGCATGCTTAAAGAATTGTTAAAAACATGTGAAAAATATGATGTGCCTACTTTCAAATTGAGGTGTGAATTTAATTTGGTACGTTATATTACGATTGGAAATGATGTGTAATCTTGTACGGCTTGCGCTTTCGGCGAACGCAAACTTTTTAAAAACACGTTTGGCATTTTCTATTTACTTTCACGAAAAAGAAATTACGATTAGTGAAGTATTTCGAAATCTACCTGAAAAAGATTCAAATAAGATGATGGAATTGATAAAGATCAGTAAAGTCGGTCAATACTTGTGATACCTTTTAACCACTATGACTGTTAAGAGATTTACATTTGCTAATATTTCTGTCATATAATATCGCAGTCTTAATTATAAATTAATAAAATATGATAGATTTTTTTAAGTAAAGGTGTGTTTTGTCTTTTCTAGAAAATATAACTTTTTATTTTTATTTATATAAGAATACAAAGCAAATGTATGTAAGTGTTAATACAAATGAAAACTTTGTCATTTGAACGTACCTTGTGTACGAATAAAACTGTTATTAAATATATTTCATGTAGTTATAAGTTTCTTAAGGCTACTTGTTGATCTATTGTAAAATGAAAGGAAATAAAAAAACGGTCGACAACCCTTATCGGCGCACAGTTCTAAAAAGTCGAAATAGACGCGTAAACAACATCTATATACTGTTATTGCGACTAATATTATTATAATATATGCCTCCGTGGTCGAATTAGTTGAGACTCCCGCTTAGAGAGAAGGGAGGTCCAGGTTAAAACCCTGGCTGAGGTAATATTTTTCGTAATAAATTTTCTGTATTATAAAAATGGCCAGATACGGTCTATAAAAATCACTGATAAAATAAAAAAATGTCATGTCTGTTTTTATTGCTCGCTTTTATCTTATCTTGACAGAGCTAGAGCGAGAGCGAAAGAGAGAGAACGAGAGAGAGAGAGAAAGAGAATTATATAACTAAAAGGAAATAATAGTTACACAAAATATAATTAATAAGTTTCATAGCTGTGAAATATAATTAATAATAATTTTATTCATACGCATAAGTTCAAATTACATATTACTTAATACTTAGAGCATATTCTTATTATATTATAGAGTGTATTACTTAACACTAGAATGCATATAAAAATTGAAAGTACAGTAGTAATAGCATAAGTTATATTTGGAGAAAAGAAAAAACAGACGTTTATTAATTAAACAAAATTATCATGTTCTATTCATTTATATTTAAAACCACAATATTATATCATTGACCTATCAACAGGTGGTATTATGGGTTTGGGAAAGCTGAAGGAATGACTGTTTTCATGTATTTCAATTTTCAATTTTTCAATCAATTCCATTATCTTAACTAAATCTTTTTGCGATGGATCTGAAAGTCCTCCATCCATCAATTCTTTCATATGATTTAATAACAGTTGCCGAATGCTTTTGTAAAGATGACGCATTATATGATAATGCATGCTGTAGAAGTTCCACAGCATTTTCTTTCTTAAGATGATATAGCAAGTAATGTTCACACGTTATTTTTAACATGGGTACATCATATTTATCAGCTGTTGTTAACAATTCTTTAAGCATCGAATAATTTTGTTTTTCTGATAGTAAACCAGTTAAAATATATAATAAAATCTGTTTGAAAGCTTTTAACTCATTCTTTTGTAACTCATCTTTCATATCTTTTACTTTTCCTTTATGTGTACGACAGACATTCTGAAAGTAACTACTGCCGGTGTTCCACAACAATTTTTTTGATATAACATACTGTTCGTCTTCAACTATAAATACGATTGATTTGTCATCTTTATTCTCAACTTCTAGAGTTGAGTCTTCAAGAGATTTCACGTCTTTAAATACCGTTTCAGAGGGTAAATTCATGTATACAGTGCTATTTATCAGATTATGAAAAACCTTAATTTTGCAGTATATTAGAGCCGTGACTTCCTTGAAATTTCCTCTATAAAAGTTGTCTGTCATGACTTCAAGTAATAATGTCTCATTCGATGTACGACCCGAGATTTCATGTAAGGCATTATAATTACACACAGTAATAGTAGTAGTACATAATCCCATAAAGATTGCCTTAGTACATAAATTAAATTGTATCTTTTTTAGTGAATTTTGTTGTGTTGAGCGTGAAATATTCATTTTAATACTGTATTGACCTTCTTTATCAAGTGGTGGAGATTGTAACTGAGTTAGACTTCTATAAATATCTTCAAAATCTTCAATTTTCCATGTATATTCAATTGTAGTCGTTTTAATTCGTGATGAAGCGTAGCTTTTGGTATATGCAGGTAAAAATGGTGAAGATACTTTTTGCGTTTCCGGATTCATCTTACTAGACGTATCGTCAATTTTCTGTGCGTCAGAAACCTGAAAATAATTGACTCGTTTATGAATGATAAAAATAATCTAAATATCCTAAAAGCCTCTGTTTTTATAGGTTAAATTTTACATGTAATTACATGTAAAATTGTATAAATAATAGCTATTTACAATCTGATTTCATCAAACGTGCATAGAGATTTTTCAGACATCTTACATTTAATTTATTCTCTTTAACTAACATAATATTATGTACAAGACAATCATAAAATTGAGTTGAACGAATAGCGAAGTTTTGTAGAAGAAAACATTTTTATTAATCATAATCAATTTTATAAAACTTTTGTCAAACTTTTGCATTACATTTCAAGAATAATTAATAAGTTGCTTTCTTGCCTAAGTTTGGACAATATATCATTTCCATTAAAAAAATTGAAAGACAAATTTATAATTTTATACTTTTGTAATTTGATATGTATGTACAAGTTTTAAAAAATATTTCTTATGTTACATACAATTCTATTTTGAATTCTGATACAATTAAGTAAGATTTATTTGAAGATATTTTAAATTAATAACTTTCAAGTGCATTCATATTACATATATTAGTAAAAAAAATCAGATTTGATATGTGTAATGTAAATGTTTATAAATTTTCTTTATTATGTAGAATGCATAGAATTATCGCGTTAAGAAATATCACGAATATATTGATTTGTTTGTACAAAATCTCGCATACTTTCTATTAACACACACTCACCAAAGTTAAAGAACTCTTGAAACTCACTTGGTTCTTCTCTATTAAAGGTGTTCGTCCGTCGTTGAAATATTTTGGTGGATTGATTTTTACTTTCTCCTTTATACGATATTTGAGCACTCTCTGTCCAAATAATATTATCAGATTAATGTGTATATAGATGTAGGATTTCCGAGAGGATTTATTTGATTCCTTATCAAGTTTCTAAACTATTACGAATATTATGAATATTTAAGATGTGGAGAGATAATGAACGTACCAATTAACTTCTTCTTAGTAGCGAAAATGGCAGTAATAGCATTCGATCCGCAACCGCAACACGAACGCGAGATCAATCTTACCAAGATGCAAATCAACAATTGAACGTTGTTACTACAGAGATGCTTAGCAACGAGTTACGCCGTCTACGATCAGTGATGCAAAATCCGCTACTTTTGCAGCACGCTGTGTCGGAGAGGAGATAACGCACACAAGCGAGCAGCCGTGTATGTATATACGTGTGCGCCCAGCGCTTCGGCCAACTTCGGCCGGGTAGAAGAGCTTACAAGGGAACGGTCAAGTGCACGGGTCAAGTGTTCCTCTCCCCGATTTGGCTGAAATTGTGCATAAAGACTCCTATACAATGGGAATCTGTATTCGATACGTAACCGTAAACGTAAAAGTTCAAAATGTTTGACTAGATGGTATTAGGTTAGATCGAGAGTATTCTGGGTGTTTCGTTTTTCTACAAGTTTAGCAAATAAAATAAAATAATGCTCAACGAATCGGACCGAATTTTCATCGAGTTGGTTGAGAAACATTCTAATACAGTAAAACGTCCCACATCTGCGCCGGTCGGGACCGGAACTGACCCAACATCTGCGTCAGAAAGCGGCGGTGGTGGGGGAGCTACCTTTTGAAAACGCGAAGATGTGGGACGGAAACTAGCGAAGATATGGGACGCGCGCAGATGTGGGAAGCGCAGATGTGGGACGTTTTACTGTATACATGATAAAAGTAATTGCGACTATAAAGATCGTCTTAAAACGAAAAATACATGGCAGAGCATTGCAGAAGCAATGAATGCAAATGGTATGTATAAGTTATTATTATTTAAGTGTTATTATTATTTATTTTTTAATGTAATTGAAAAGTAAGTTTTTTAAATTGGTTTTTTGCATTGGCCGCACCCAATATTTTCTTTTTCGAATCGTTTTTCTTTTTTCCCTAACTAATTGTAGCATTATTGCAGCCAAATTAACAGTCACAAGTGCTATATTTTTAACTCGCTGAACATCCATTGTACACAATTGCGTTTTCGATTTAGATTCTGTCAAAACATAAAATACTTCTTTAATTCTTTACAGGTTAGAAACATCTTACCGATTGTTTCGTTAAAGTTACGTTACGGTTACGGGCTGCCATTGTAAATTATACGGGTCGATTTCTTACGGTAACAGTTACGTAAGGATTACGGATTCTCATTGTGTAGGAGCCTTTAGATTTTCGCCGACACCACGCCCTTCTCCTAAAAAATTCCATAGGCAGCGGGGACAGATCGTCATCAAGGCGACGCAGTTGCGTACTTGCAGTCGTGACATCCGAGGATACAGACAGGCGAGTAGAATAATAGTAGAATAATTGTTTAAAAATTCAATCGATTGTTCATAATCAGTTGTCAGCTTCAGTATTTTCTGAACTGTTGCGTTACGCTTGGTTCGCTGCAAGACTTTGCGATAAAAGATACATTTTCAGGAACGTAAATTAAATGTTTCCCTATCAATATTCTTAAAAATCTTTGTGCTTGTAAAAAAGCAGCTTTTATAAGATGCGCACGATGTTTTACAACATATTGTTTTACATGTTTTTATGATGAATATCATCCTAATTTATGTACCAATATACTGTCTTCTACTTAATATTATAAATATTGCAAATAATTAATAAAGATTTATATTGCAAATATTTCAAAACAATAAAAATATTAAAATTTCAGCATCGATATTATATAACTAAAGAAACAAATTTCCATAAGATTCAGCGACCTACACTAGCTAGTGTTTTTATTGAAAACGAACTTACAACGAATTAATGAACACTGCAACGACATTAAGAAACAAGAAAACAATTTATCGGTTGTGAGCAGACATCGTCTCGATCATGAGCATGACTTTAACTGGTTGGAACCTAAAATATTACACAACAAAAAACATAAAATTAAACGGGAGGTTGCCGAAATGATTTTTATCAAAAAACACAAGAATACAATTAATTTAAAACGTGACACTGAAAACTTAAATCCAGTATATAATAAAGTCCTTGAAAATATGTGACTTTCTAGGTTCCGATAGATATTTATAATTTTAGTATATATGACACGTTTATTCCCATTTATTTATTAATCTAACGCGACTTCTCGTCAAAATAAGTCAGATCCCGACAATTGTCGAATCAGTTCCGATCCGGACATGATTGTGCGAACATGTGGTATTTTAAACGTACCCACATAGCACAAATGACTGTTTGCCGGCTGATAGTCGACATTTTTTAGTCACCTTGAAGTCAACTTTTGAAGTCGACATTTAGTCTACTATTTATAAGATGGTTTATTGTCGACTTTAACTATAGACTGAAAGTCGATCTATAGTCGACATTTTCAGGAAGTTTAAAGTCGCCTTTCGGTGAAGCGAAAAATTAACTAAAAAATATTTTTTTGTCTTACCGAAAGATATAAAAATCTTTTTTCTTATTTTTTTCGGCAAAGTGCAAAAATGTGTAAAAAATATCTTTCTGATCAATATGTCGAACCGA